ACTAGATGGTTGGGTCAAAAGCTCCCGTTTCAGTTGCCTGTATTATATTGTTCTAAAGTATCAGTTATGATCCTTCTTGTAAAGATCCAGTATAAAAAATCTGCGGTGGCCCAAGCCCAACTACTGTCACCTCTTAACACCTTAGTCTGGAAATTATTACAGATGACTTAATTTGCTTTCTGAACAAAGAACTTGTCTTGCTTTAACAGTCATTGGTTTGCTAGAAAGTGTCTTCCTGATTTATCTACATCTGCTACAACATTTAGCTCTAATACACCAGGAAAATCTGGTGTCTTATCTTGACTGGGTATCAACTGTGCGCGGCTGTGTGTGTGCAAACAACCATTTCCTGGTGCTGGGGTAAACAGCTACGTGATCACCTCACTGATACCATGGGAACAGACTTCACAAGTGCAGATTTATAGGTAGAGTCACACCAAGTTTGTAACTATCAAAATATTTATTGGAAATTATAAAATTTAAATAGTAGCTATACATTATATACACACAGCTACAATTTTAGAAAATAAGGTTTCATAGTTGACAAAGTTCGAGAGGAAGTCCAACTACGTCAATACTAAAGTTTTCTTGAAATCCAGAGCACGTTCTCTACGCTTCAGCTGCTACATCACTTCAGTCAAATGCAATCACAGTACTTTACACATGGGAGTTTGGGTACACTCCTTCAAATAAATAACTTATAAATACAAAAACTACAGACAGGGCTTGGCCCCTTTCCTCATTCTTCGTCAAACTTGGGAGCATTTTCAATGCAAATGATTATTTTACCTCTTCTCTTTCCAAGTAACACACACAAAAGTTGTCCTTGCTCAGAAGCGCCATGGAGTCTCCACTAGAATGCCAGGACAGAGACACGATCTGGAAGTCGCCTGCAGAAAGAGATCAGAGTTTGTCAGCAAGAAGCTGACGGTCCGTCCTCGCGCTCGGGGAAAAGGCGACTGGAGAAAGTCACCACGTTGCAAAAAAAATACCCTCCCCCATCTTGGAAGCCTTGAGGGCGTTGGGCTTTGTGACTGCTGCAGGAGGGCACCGACTCCCCAAACCCACCGTCAGCTTTGCGCTGCGTGGTCAAACAGACCGTGGGGGCTCCTCGTTTCAGTGCAAACAGGTGCCACCAGGTTGCTCACCAGTGCAGAGCTGCGTACCCCGATGGCATCGCTGCTCGTTGCGTGGAGAGGAAAAAGCTGAATCTTTGCAGTTTCTGTTTAACTGGGCACATATGTGACCCAGCCAACGGCCTTACGTCGCCTCCTGCCACCCGCAACACTTCTCATCACACAGGCTGGCTCAGAGGCCAGGTTCACGTTGTCCTTCTGTCTTTCCACATCAGATTTACCACGCACGTTCTTCCCCCCACTAGTGTTTTGTTGTGGTTCAGTTGTTTTCAGAATACCCAAAAACATTATAGGCCTTTCAGAGTCCTCATTTCAACACTTGGCGTTCTGCACAACAACAGTTTCGATGCAAATGAACTGACACAAATACAAATTTGAGAAAGAATTCAAGGCACCATAGATCAGAGCAACGATTAAATCATACTTCATTATGCTTGCTGTGTCTCATTACAAACTCCTCTTTTTTGAGGACAGAAATACCTATTTTTAAAAAGCTCCGAGAACACATCTGAGCCATTTACACAACTGATTTAAGTTGAAAACTGTTTTGTAACTAAGCAGCTGCTGATGGCTTGTGGAAGTCCTTGTGGCAGCCTTACCTTCCAGGGGAACCTGCACCGACACGCAGCCCGCTGGGGACCACAGGTAGACTTTGCTGTTCCCTGTGCATACAGCAAGTCGAGGTTGTCGTGGATCCCACTGGAAAGACTGGATCGTGCACAGCTGCTCTAAGACTACAAACAGTTTCAGCTTTTGAATGTCCCAGATCCAGACAGTGTTAGGAATGTTATCTGTCAGAAAAGGAAGAGGTAATCATGTAAATACCTGAAGGATAAAAAGAGCACGCTTTTTTTTTTTAAAGAAATAGGCATTAATTGAGGTGTAACACAGCACGAACCATGTAGGCACACCACAGGTTTACCACCAGTAGAGTTTTGCCTGGCAGCCATTCAATTTTGCCTTGGTAAAATTGCAAAAAGGACAAAAGTAGTGACGTGGTTTGTCCTCCAGTCCTTCACTGGCTTTTGTCAAATTAATTCACAATTATGCTACTGTTGATGGGCTTTGCCTCTGAACCACAGCTTTTGCATTCAGACATAAACAGCCCTTCAGGACCATCAAAGGGAAAGATTAAATGCTAATTCCATGACTTTCACTGTTCGAGGTAACCAAAAGCCTCACTACAACAGGTCGTGAAGAATTCTGCCTTTTAAGAGACACTTGCTGGGAATGGAGGAAGAAGGATTTGCGTGTTCTAATATGGTGAGCTCACATACATTTGAAGAAATGCAAAAAGCACACGATTTTCATTAAATACAAAGCCAAGACCCAGTTAATGTTCTGATAATCAGCCCTGGCAGCGGATGCTAGAAGACAAAGGCTGAATTTTCCTCTGTCATTCCACGTCTGCACAACGGAGAGCTGATTTTAAACAGGGCCACGAGTCTTCCCCTGGTGCAGAATAACTGACCAACTACTGTCCTCGTTTCTTTCATGAAAAACACACCACGTACAACGAACAGGTTTCCCCTTCAATATAGGGCAGTAGGAACTTACCATTTCTGGTTGCCAGGAAACAGTTATCTGAACTGAATGCCAACATCCCAATTCCCATTTTGGGATTTGCCCTGTCGGCAACTGGTTTGATATACTGTAAAGAAACTGGCACCTGGGAAATGTCATCTGCAATTCAAAATAAAAGCACTTTACTAAGCAAGTCTGAATGGATAAAACATCTAAATTCCGACTGTTAAAATCCCTCATCTCTGAAGCAACAGGACCAAATTTTACTCCTCTCCAGGATGTTTCAATCGAAAACTTTGATTGTTTTAAGATATTCATCTTCATATAAACAGCTCACTAGTCTTGCCTGGTCTTTTACAAAAACAGAAAGGCTGGAAATCCAGGCAAGTCTGAGATTAAGCTATGAAAAAAAGGAAAGATCCGAGTTTTCCGCTATCTTTTAACTACTATTTGAAACAAACACCGATGCAAAACAAAGGTGATTTACAGCACCACAAGCAATGAGACAGTAAAAATCACAAAATAGAAAAAATACTGATCCTACTTTGTCTGCCATCTCTTTCATTTTTCAAAGCCCCTTGTCCGGAGGCAAGTCTGAAGCATTGCTACAACTGCAGCTTCTCCGACAAAAGCCAAACGGCCTTTTCCATGCTCTGCTTTTCTGCATAACCTCATACCTAAGGGATTAATTACTGTCCTAAACAAACAGCAAGACTGTAACACTTTGATTAATTTTTTATTATTGGAACTGCCAACACACTATGGCGATATAACTGCTAGAATCAGATGAACTATTGCAATTATCTGCAATAGTTAAACTAAGTGACGAAATAACATTGCATAGATTGAACAAATCAGAAACAAAACCCAGGCAACATTAAGACAACTTTTGCAACAACTCCACAAGTGAGATCTGGCTGCTGTTTCCACACCCAAGAAGTGACAGTTCTTTTCTACAATATCCCAGCCTGCCTGCAAACCACCGTGCCAGCATCCCCTCCAGCCGGGGGCGTGCTGCCCTGGGAGCTCTCTGCCACCTTGGGAGCCTTGAGCAGAGCACCCAGAGGGCCCAGTCCAGCACCAGAGAGGCA